TGAGAGATGCTAGAGCTGGTTCGCCTTCCTCTTTATATAGCCAAAGAAGATTGGCTGTTTTCCAACTCCTTCTAGGAGATCATCTTATCTTTATGGAGTCTTGATCTTCTTTGAACTAATCCTATCCTATCTCTTATCTAATGATCTAATGTCAATCTTCTTATCTCTCTAGGATTACATTCAAGACTTTAGATCTAATAAGACTCTCTCCTTCGAGATTACATTCGAAATTTGGACTCTTGACTCTTGAATTTGAGTTGGGCTGCTTTAAAACTTGGGTTGCTTCAAGGTACTTCTGCGAGTTGGGCTTAAGTTGTGAAATGGGCCTGGCTGCGAACTTGCTCCGACTTCGGGCTCATTTTCATACTCGATGCGAGTCGAATGTGTCAAAACCCAAAATATAAAAGTTGTGGACCTTCCTTTCATCTTTCTAATACTTCTTTAATTGTCCAATTCGGAGTCCGGAATTGAGAGTTAGTCCCAGATTACTGATTGTTGCCGAAACTGTGCAAAATCACCCGATTTGCCCTGTTTTCTTCCAATTGCCTTGTTTATTGCCCTGGATCGAAATACAAGAGTAATGAGTTCATTTAAGTGCTAAAGTAATGTAAAAAGATGAAAATTAGGGGACAAAAATAGGGTTCTTTTTTGTCTCATCAAATCCCCCACACTTAAACCTTGCCCGTCCTCGGGCAAGACAAAATTCAAACAAAAACAACTCAACTCTTCTTCATCTTTCTTCACAAATATTGTAGGTTAACTATTGCGAACCGTTAAATCAAGACAACCAAGTCATACACGACTCATTCATCAGTCAATCCAATTTCTGCTACTGCAAACCAGGTAGTAAATCAGGGAAAACATTTTTATCTTCTCTCTGTTTTTATTTTCTTTTTCTTTCCTCTAAAGAAGTGAGTACATTTTATGCTCCATCTCACTTTTGGATTACTTGGTCAGTAGGTGCATTTTATGCTCCATCCTACTTTTTGATTTACTAGCTAGTAAGTGCATCTTATGCTCCGTCCTACTATCATATGACTTGGTTGGTAGGTGCATTTTATGCTCCATCCTACCATCGGATTAATTAACCGGTAGGTGCATTTTATGCTCCATCCTACCAATTGTGGCAATGGTGAAGTATTTACCCTATTTACTTAAACCTGAATTTAGGACTAGCTTAACTAGAAATGGCTTTAGATAAGTCATGTACTCCTTGATCGTACCTCATTACTAGGTTCACCATAATTTCCCTAGAACATTGTTTCAATTGATTTCGAAAGAGTTGAGGTTTTTTTTTTCTTTTTTTTTTTAATGCAAGAATTACAGGGTCTCGCCACCTGATCCATAAATTCATTGATTGTGGTCTCAATCTGCCTAACACAGCAAGTTCTAGAATAGTCAAACCATGTTTGACAGATATTTATGCATCTTGCCTATTGATCGATTAAAATCATGAGGTACCATATGCAGCCAAGAACGATTCAGTTAGTCATGCTTGCATCCTATCCAATCTATTCAGTCTAGGCACATGATTCCAGATAAGTTGAAATCATTCAAGGATAAGCTTCTAGGGAATAGAGTTTCCAAAATGCAAGGTTAAGAAGAGATGATCGAAGCATGCTAGGGTTTTCTGTCAAATTTCCCTAATCCCCCCACACTTAAGCTGTACATTATCCCCAATGTATGTGATTATGCATAAAGTAGAAGGATTTGGGGGCACTTCCCTGTTTGTCTTGTTGGGTTCCTGCTAAACACACAAAAAAAAAATCAAAACTTAAACAAAATAACAAAAAATCACAATGGGTTGCCTCCCACAAGCGCAATTGTTTAACGTCGTTATGCTCGACATTCTCCTCTGCTTCTTTAATCCAATGAATACCAAGGAATGTCCAACGAGATGTTTATCGTAGAGGAGACATTTGCATCCTCATGGAACAACTTCAATCGATGCCCATTCACCTTGAAGATCTTACCTGTGTTGAGACTTTTTATCTCTACTGCACCATAAGGGAATACACTAGTCACACTTAAAGGACCCATCCATCTGGAACGCAGCTTACCTGGCATGAGTTGGAGGCAAGAGTTGTACAGTAAGACCTTTTGTCCAACTTTAAATTGTTTTCTTAAGAGTACATTGTCATGGAACAATTTGTTCTTTTCTTTGTAGATTCTGGAATTTTCATATGCCTCTAACCTCAACTCTTCCAGCTCTTGCAACTGGAGCTTCCTTTCCTTCCCTGCTTCTTCCATATTCATGTTGCATCGCTTTATTACCCAATAGGCCCTATGTTCAATTTCGACTGGCAAGTGGCAAGATTTGCCAAAAATTAACCTGTAAGGGGACATACCTATTGGGGTCTTGTAAGCTGTTCGATATGCCCAGAGAGCATCATCCAGGCATAGGCTTCAATCCTTCATACCTGGATTCACCGTCTTTTCCAAGATGGAATTTATCTCTCTATTAGAAATTTCAGCTTGCCCATTAGTCTGGGGATGATAGGCAGTGGCGATTCGGTGATGCACCCCATATCTTCTCAACAAGGCTTCAACTGTTCTATTGCAAAAATGGGTCCCTTGATCGCTTATGATGGCTCGAGGAATGCCAAACCTGCTGAAGATGTTAGATTTGATAAACCCTACAACACAATTAGAATCATCAGTCTTGGTGGCCTTGGCTTCCACCCATTTTGAGACATAATCGACTGCCAAAAGTATATAAGAAAAACCACAAGAAGGAGGAAAGGGTCCCATGAAATCAATGCCCCAAACATCAAATATTTCACATATAAGAATGGGTGTTTGGGGCTTCTCATTTGTGCGAGACAGTGTACCTGTTTGCTGACATCTTTCACAATTTTTAGAAAACAAGTATGCATCTATAAATAGGGTTGCCCAATACAGCCCACTATCTAAAACCTTTCGAGCAGTCCTCTTTGGCTCAAAATGGCCACCACAAGCATAATTATGGCAAAAAATTAGAATCGACATCTGCTCATCCTCAGGGACACATCTCCTAATCATTTGATCAGAACAGAATTTCCATAGATAAGGTTCATCCCAAACATAATATTTTGCCTCATACCTGATTTTGTTCTTCATGGATTTGCTAAGGTCATTAGGCAAAAATCCGATAACCAAGTAGTTCACAATGTCAGCATACCATGGAACCATACCTCTCATGTGAAACAACTGCTCATCAGGAAACAACTCATCGATGGGTGAGGAGTCCTCATCTTTCACCAACCTACTTAGGTGATCCGCCACCGAGTTTTCAACTCCCTTTCGATCCATGATCTCTAAATCGAACTCTTGGAGCAAAAGTATCCACCTTATCAACCTCGGTTTCGACTCCTTCTTTGCTAGTAGGTATTTCAAAGCTGCATGGTCAAAAAATACAATCACTTTAGAGCCAAGTAAATATGATCTAAATTTTTCTAAAGCAAACACAATAGCTAATAGATCTTTTTTAGTGGTTGTGTAATTGCTCTGTGCAGCATTCAGTGTTTTGGAAGCATAGTAGATGACGTGGCTTTTCCCATCAATTCGCTGACCTAGAACCGCCCCTACCACATAGTTGCTCGCATCTGCCATGATCTCAAAGGGCAAGTTCCAATCGAGTGGTTGAATGATGGGTGCAATTGTCAATAAATTTTCCAGCTTATCAAATGCTTCCCTGCACTCATCACCAAAATCGAAAGGCATATCTTTTTGCAGCAACTTGGACAATGACAGGGCAATCCTTGAAAAATCTTTGATGAACCTGCGATAAAAACCTGCATGTCCAAGGAATGAACGAACCTCCCTAACATTTGTAGGGTAGGGTAAGCTCACAATTAAATCAATTTTAGCTTTATCGACCTCTATTCCACTTGTTGAAATTACATGTCCCAACACAATGCCTTCCTTCACCATGAAGTGGCATTTTTCATAGTTTAAGACAAGATTTGTTTCAACACATCGATTCAGAATTTTGCTTAAACTATTTAGGCAGTCATCAAAYGAATYACCATAAACAGTAAAATCATCCATAAACACTTCAATGCATTTTTCAATAAAATCAAAAAATATACTCATCATGCATTTTTGAAAGGTGCCTGGAGCGTTACACAAACCGAAAGGCATTCGTCTGTAGGCAAAGGTGCCGAATGGGAAAGTAAATGTTGTTTTCTCTTGGTCCTCCTGTGCAATAACAATCTGGTAATAACCTGAGAAAACGTCAAGAAAACAAAAGAAAGACTTACCTGCTAATCGCTCTAGCATCTGATCGATGAAGGGTAAGGGGAAATGGTCCTTTCGAATGGCCAAGTTTAGTTTTCGAAAATCTATTACCATTCGCCAGCCACTTTGTACGCTCATGGGAATTAGTTTATTATTTTGATTTTTTACTACAGTAATCCTAGTTTTCTTAGGTACAACATGAATAGGACTTACCCATTTACTGTCTGAGATTGGATAAATTATCCCTTCATCTAACAGTTTAAGCACTTCTTTCAGTACTACCTCTTTCATTACCGGGTTGAGTTTTCTTTGTGGTTCCCTAACCGGTTTGGCACCATCTTCCAAAAGGATCCTATGCATGCAAATCGAGGGGATGACCCCCTTTATATTAGCTAGGGTCCAACCGATCGCCTCCTTATGGTCCTTTAGGACTTTGATGAGCCTCTCCTCTTACTCCTCAGTCAACCCTTTTGCAATGATTACGGGCAGTGTCGCTTTTTTGCCCAAGTATGCATATTTCAAATGATCAGGTAGGGTCTTTAGTTCCAGCTCCAGAGCCTGCAAAACAAAAGGCAGCAATTTTGTGTGAGAAATATTTGATTGAATATCAGAATTACTTACCTCTTGTCCTGGTTCCGTAGTGCCATAGGATGCATCGAACTCCTCTTCCTTGTCCGATTGTCCCTTATATTCCAGCTCATCGCCCATGTCTTCCTCTCCAAAGACTTCCTGCACAATCGAATCAATGTTGTCAATAGAGCAGATCGAATGACATTCACTAGGATATTTCATTGCATAAAAAATATTAAATTTTACAATCTCTCTGTCAAACTCGACGGAGAGGGTACCCTCGTCCACATCTATTTTGGTCTTGGCTGTTTTCATGAATGGTCGGCCTAATAGAAGTGGGGCTAAACTCGTGGATGTGTCCTCTTCCATCTTCAGGATGTAAAAATCAGTTGGAAAGATCAAATCGTTAACCTGCACCAATACATCCTCAACAATCCCCTCAGGGTAGGCATTAGAACGATCAACTAATTGGATAACAACTCTAGTCTCTTTCAAAGGACCCAGTCCCAATGCACAGTAAATCGAGTATGGCATGACATTAATAGATGCACCTAAGTCCAGCATGGCACGCTCGATTCGTTTGTTTCCAATCACACAAGGTAGGGTAAACATACCTGGATCAGCCCGTTTTTCTGGCAGGGTCCTCTTGATCACGGCTGAAATGTTCTCCCCAACTCTTACATTTTCATCAATTCGCAGCCTCCTCTTGTTAGTGCATAATTCTTTTAAAAATTTGGCATATTTTGGGATTTGTTTTATTGCATCTAACAAGGGGRTGTTGATYTCCACCTTCCTGAAGGTTTCCAGCACTTCTTGCTCATATTCCTCCTTCTTGGACTTTTCCAACCTGCTAGGAAAAGGAGGTACAACAGCATTAGTAACTTTAGGAAGAGGGGGGTCGGATGTTACCTCAATGGGGTTGTCGTTTGACCCTTGTCTTTCCTCTTCCTTGGCTGCCTTCGATGGTGAGCTTGGTTGGGACTGCAACTCTCTTCCACTTCTCAGCATCACTGCACTTGCATTCTCTTTTGGCTAACTACCGTTTGTGAGGGTAGTTTCCCGGAGCTCTACGCCTCCAACTTGCTAATGGAAGTGGCAAGTTGGCTAATTTGGTTCCCCAAATTTTGAATGCTGGCTCTTGTTTCCTGTTGAAATTGCTAAGTATTAGTAGCTAGAGCCTTAACTACATCATCTAAGGACATACCTGAATTCGAGGGTTGGCCTTGCGCCGTGATGGGTGCCGAAAACTGGGGCTTCTGATTGAAAAACTGGGGCTGGTATTTCTGTTGTGCTCCTTGGTTCCCATAGCTTAAATTTGGATGATCTCTCCACCCCGGATTGTAATAATTGGAGTAGGGATCATACTTTCATTGGGGCTGCCCCGGGAATCCTCCTACGGCATTTACTTGCTGCATCGATCCATCTTGTAATGATGGACACATGTCCGTAGGATGACTAGGGATCGAACAGATACCACACACCCTAGCTGTTTGTAATTGCCCTGCAGCAAGTTGCTTAACCAAAGTTGTTAAATCTGAAATCTGATTTTCTAAATTGATATGGCTTACCTCATTAACCCGTCTAGTGGTGCCATCTATCCTTGCACCGAACTGTTGTGAATTTTCGGCCATGTTGGAAATTAATTCCCTGGTCGCTTCGGGTGTCTTGTTCACTAAGGCTCCTCAACTGGCTACATCAACCATACTTCTATCTATGGGCTGAAGCCCTTCATAGAAGTATTGGATCAAAAGTTGTTCGGGTATTTGGTGGTGTGGACAGCTAGCAACAAGTTGTTTAAATCTTTCATAATATTCATATAGCATTTCACCACCAAATTGCCGAACTCCACATATTTCTTTTCTTATATTTGCAGCCCGGGATGCTGATAGCTATAAATATATAACCATAGCAAGTGCACTAGTTATCAAGTAGTATAAAATATTGTTCCCATGGGGATTTAACAAAATAAGTATTAAAACCACAGTCTTCCCTAATTATCTAGACAAACGAAATTCAGATTTGAGCAGGAACTACTAAAATTAAAAACTAGAAGCAAGGGTGATCACTAATCGAATATGCAATGGATGAAATCGCTGACTTTAGGTCCACCTAACCAATGTAATGAATATTAATGGATTCGATTTACCAAGATTATTTGTCATTCCCATAAGCTGAGGTCTTTCCAAATTTATTTAATATTCTCTCTCGAGATATATTAAAACTACATCCATCAGGTAACCCTTCGATCTCTCAAGTAAAGCTCTCAAGATGGAAATGCATCAAGTCCAAGAAAAACCATTAAATTCAGATTAAATCATGTATATATATCTCTATATACCATTCAATTCACACTATGAATTATTCAGTCGATTATGTGAATTCCTCTCTCGATTCATTCACATAACATAAATCAATTAAGAGGTAGCCAAGCTCTTAATTGCATTAAGCACAATAATTCATAGACTATATGGAAATCACAATCTTGGATAAATCATAAAGATAAAAATATATTCATTAACATGGTTAGGCTTTCAACAGCCCTAGTAATAAGCAAATCAGTTCATGATAAGAGAATTAAAGCAAACAAAGGGAAAGAAAGAACTCTTGAATTCACCCATGGTGCTGAGATCTCCTCTTCTTGCCGCCACCTTCTTCTTGAAGTTTCTTGAATTCTTTTCTCCTTTCTTGACTGATTTCTCAATGCAATTCATGATCCCCTCTAGAGATTGAGTCCTCCTAAAGCTGGTCCACCCCCTTCTTTATATAACTTAAAGGGGAGGGGGTGGTCTTCTACTTCCTCTTAAGTTTATCTTACAAGAATAGAAAGTCCTATTCTAATCCTACTCTGATCTCTTTATCTAATGAACTCAATCCTTTTATCTCTCTAAGATTACATCAAGAGTTTAGATCTGGGAGGACTCTTCTCAGTTTCTTGTTCTTGGATTCGTATTAGACCTCCTCTGCGAATTGGGATGCTGTCAGGCTTTTCTACAAGTTGGGCTTCAGCTGCGGATTAGGTCTTCCTATGAATTTGCCCTGACTTTGGGCCCGGATTTGATTTCGATGTAAGCCAAATCTGCGAAATCCCAAAACACGAAAGTTGTGGATTTTTCTCTTATCTTTCCAGTGGGTCTTGAATCAGCCCAATCGAAGTTCAGATACGCGAGTTAGGCCTAAATTACTGAATGATGCCGAAACTGTGAAAAATCATCCGATTTGCCTTTCTTTGCTTCTGATGCCTTTTTTCATGCCCTGAACCGAAATACAACAAATATGAGTCCAATTAAGTACTAATTCAGTATGAAAGACAGAATATTTGGGGATAAAAATATGATAAATTCTACTCTCATCAAATCCCCCCACACTTAAATTTTGCCCATCCTCGGGCAAGACAAAATTCAAAACAAAATTAAAACAAGAACAAGCTAACTAAAATATTGTTTTGGATTTTTTCTCAACAGGGTATTGGTTCTCCCGCATGCCTTGATCTAGTATTAATGGTCCTTCCCTTTGTCCACTTTTTTTCCTCTTTAACTTGTCAATGAATAATCTTAAATCGCCAATCCTCATGATCCCAAATGAGATCGACAATCGAGGGAAACAAGCATCTCTTCGCATGAATAATTTAGGACTAGAGTAATCCCACTTTGTTTTTACAATCACATGTAGCAAGATTCAAAAATACCCTCTCACAATTTTTCAGAACGAAACAAGGAATGTTATCACCATAAGCTTGCTTATGCATCACATCTCCACCACTTATCATGAGTCCATTGCATCGAAAGGAGAATTAGGGTTTGGGATCTAGGAATGAGTGCATTTTATGCTCCATCTCACCATTTTCTTATATTTTTAGTGTGAGTGCATTTTATGCTCCATCTCACACTTTTTCATAAATAATTTTTTTTTGGATAAATCATAAAGATAAAAATATAATAAATCACGTTCCAATCCATGAACTCATTATCGTGGTCTCAACATGCCTAATAAGACAAGTTCTAGAATAATCAAACCATGTTTGTCCGTCAGAAACTGAATGCTCACAAGGGTCGAATCTGTATTGCATCTTACCCGTTGATCATTCAAATTACTGAGATACCTTCCATAGCCAAAAAAATTTCAGTTAGATTTGCCTGCATCCTTTCTTGTCTATCCTACCTAAGCACATGATTCATGACGGTTTACAATTATTCAAAAACAAGTCTCTAAGGAGCAGAAATTTCGAAAAGAAAGGTTAGAGAGGGGTAATCGAAGCATGCTAGAGTCCGAAACAAAAAATTTATCAACCCCCTTAATCCTCCCCCACACTTAGGATATACATTGTCCTCAATGTATAGAATATGCATAACAAGAACAAGGAGAGAAATATTTAAGAGGACTTCCCCAAATGCCTCGTTAAGATCCTGCAGATGTGAGATACGAAAAAAAAACACTCATAAGAAAAAAAAAAAAACTGAACAAAACAAACAACTACTTAATGGGTTGCCTCCCACAAGCGCTCTTTTTAAGTTGTGAGCTTGACTTTCACCTTTCTTTCATGGCGGTTTCAAAGAGAGAATGGGCCCATGGTGGATGGATTGCTCTCATTCAATATAATGCTTCAACCACTGTCCATTTACCTTGAATGTACTCCCATCATCATTATGTAGTTCAATTGCTCCATGAAGGAATACCCTAGCTACTTCAAAGGGTCCGCTCCACCTGGTTTTCAACTTCCTATGTTTCCCCCTTTCATCCTTCATAGGTGGGTTTAAACTTGGAAAAGGGGCCTACACAATAGATGGGAGGGGTTTTGTGTGAAATGGAGGTAAATTAATAAAAGATGCATTATGAGTTGCAATTTCAAAAGAGTCTAGCTCAGAAGTCAAATTCCGCAGTTCTGATTTCAGTACAAACTTTTGCTCTACTTGTTGCAATTGATTAGGACTATTATTAAGTGCAACTTTCAGCGTGTCTTCTGATTTAGATGTATCTACTCCATCAATGCAATCAATTGCATATATTTTGACGGGTTTGTCGAACCCCTCAAAATTAGTACTAGTCCCACAACAAGATATTTGCAGTAAAAGTGGTACTAGGTCGAATCCCATAGGGAGAAATTCAGTAATCTCTTAGCCAAATGGATAAAGCAATTGAGTGGAAAAATTTAATAACTAAAATTAAAAGAATAAGAAAGCAATAACAAACTAAACAAACAAGAGAAAATCAATCTTACCGAATTCTGGTTCAATGGTTCGGGTTAAATCGATTGGCCATCGATTATAGGTATCCCTGGAAATCTTGCAATTCAAGCATTTAACCTTAGATTTATTAGGATAGCCATAATAAACCTTGTGTTTTCCTAATTCTACCATAGAAAGTTTTCGAGGTTTATATGTTTGGGTTGTTTATTATTTAGGGATATTATCTTAAATTCACCATGGCTTTTTTTTGCATTTCTTTTAAATTTTTATCTATAAAGCCCCATGTCAATAAGTTTTGTTGTCTAAAACTCACATTCCTAGACCACCATTAGTGAATATTAACAGAAATTATCCACATAAACATTTAAGTATTTTGCATGACAAAATTGCCCATAAATGGCAAGTTAAGCTTATAAAATGTTTATATGACAAAGTTACCTCTTACTATCCATATATGATAATTATATGGTTAGGGGTAAGACAGGATGGAGCAGTCTTGAACCGGCTATTATTGAATTGTATAAAATAGACCCAGGAATGAACTAATGATTAGGTAAGATAATTGGGCCTGACCCAATAGGCCCAATTATATTTGACATTTATAATTACCTATGATAATAACAACTTTGAACTTTATTTTTGATAATATAACCTTAATAATAATGACATCAAATTAATAATAAGTTATTTACATGTTGATAAAACAAATGTTTTTAACCAAAATTATCTTATATATTGTGTCTATAAAATTTACCCATTTAGACATAATTATAACAGAATTACAAGAAAATCAACAGAGACCTTTATATATTATTAGTTATATAATCAGTTTAGAACAACAAGAACCAGTCCCAACCCAGTTATTAATACGTAAACCACTGAACTAAAATTGGCATATGCTCAGTTCGGACTCGATCCATTGACAGTTCCATGTTTGAAACCAACAAAGCAATGTAAAAAAAAAGGGAAAGTATGTTTCGTTTCTAGCTAGCTTGGACTATTAATCAGTGTGTCATGTGCATTAAAGATGCCTTTTTGATGGATAACATTGAAATTGCCTTTACATCCTCTTACAAACACCGCTTTGAATCTCGTATGGATTACAATAATTGACATCTAAATTCAAGGCACAAATAAAACAAAGCAAATATAAAAATATAAATAAGAAAGCCAAACAAATGTTAGATAGATTAGAATATGTATCCAGTTGTGTTCTTATAACATAATTTGGAAAACATATTTTTGAAACAAATTTTAATGATGTGTTTCCTAGTAGCACACAACCAAAATGCTTTAGGTGTGTTTTATGAACCCAAAATGATTTGTTTTCTTAGATTTGGATATTAGCAAACCTTGGGGACATAACTTGTAATGTATCCTATGATCAAATTATTGAAATTTACTATTAACTAGTAAGGGGCGCCCATGCTTAGCACGGGATAAAAGTTGTGGTAGCAGGATTCAAATCCTAGTCTTTATTGGAATGAACCAACTAATATATATTACATAAAAAAGAGAAAAAATATAAAATTTATATGTATCATAGAACAAAACTATCTTACAAACAAAGTTATTAAACATATAATTCCTAAAATAGCATGCTATTCATCTTCTAAATTTAATTTAAGTTCACTCAACCTATCCAAAAAAGTTGTTCAAATGGCCACTATAGTTTACTTTTAAAATATATGGAAAAATCTCAACTAATAAGACATATTTAGCTAAAATGAGAAAATGGTTAAATACAAAAAATTAAACTACATGGCCACTAAATGAGTGGTTGAACAAGTTAGATACCGCAATTTTTTACCAACACTAACACATGTAACCCACTAAAACCCATATTTTAGGATGTAGGTTGAAATTGGGTTGATTAACCATTGGGTGAAATACAAAGAGTTGGGTTAGGTTGGGTCATGCACATCCATTTGGGTCAATTATATCAAAGATGTTATATTCTTTTTTTTTTCGCCTTTCCCTACAAATTCTCTCACTATTTACTATCCTCTCTCTCTCTCTCTCTCTCCTCACCTTTTCCCTTTTGTCTCTCTTCCAAGTTTCTCTCTCCTTATCCTCTCTTCTTCTCTACAAATTCTCTCACTATACCATGTCTTTTCTATTCCTTCGTATTCCTCTTCTCTGATCTACAAATTCTATCTGCTTTATATTCATAATGCACAATATAGGCAACATACATCAAGTATTAATAAGCTTATGGAAAAAATAATGAACATTCCTTTTAAACCAATTTACATAAAAGCTCATTTCTAAATATAGAAATAACAAAATACTTCTAAACTAAGAAATAGAGCTGAGAACAATTATGTGCAAAATGGAATACAACCAATTATAAGATCTCATGCTTCTTCAAGAAGGCCTATGTATACAAGGTTGCTAATGAAATACAACCAAGAACAAATATAGGCAACAATAAATGAAGTAATAATAAGCTTCTTAAAAAACAACTACTAAACACAAAAGAAAATCATGATATCACAAGAGCTCCCTTGTAACTAAATAGACAAAAGTTCAAAAACACCCATACCTAGAACAAAACTAATACTTGAAAACAGTAGACCCAAAATGAGAATACAATAAAAACTAATACTTAGAAATAGGGGTGGCCACGAGCCGAGCTTGGCTCGTGAAAAGCTTGGCTCAGCTCGGTTTCAATCGAGTTTCAAGTCGAGCTCGAGCCTAATAGAACTCGGCTCGTGAGGTTCTTGWATATATATATATATATATATATATATATATATCTATATATATATATATATAATAAAATTATAGAAAATAATATATAATAAAAATATTATAATTCTTAATTTTTTCACAAATCGAGCTTGAGCCTTGTACTTCCTAGGCGAGTCAAGCTTGAGCCTCATACTATTTGGCTCATCTCGGCTCGAATCCGCCCCTACTTGGAAACATTCCAAAGAGCTCAGTCATTCTATGTTAATGTAAGGGGTGCCTTGTGAGTAGCAAATTTGATTTCCGTAACGGACAAGTACAGGAGATTTTCTTGTTGTGCCATTGGAATTATTAGTGTTTACAAATTACAATGGTGACTGTTCCATTTGGTCAACTTCTAGTTTGTTGACTAGAACAAATCAACTAACAAACCTTTCATGCATGATATAAATTGTGAATAAACTTTCTAAAAAAAGACATTAATGATCACAATGACGCCCTTAGATGATCGAGTAAATTGTCACTAGTTAATTAACGATGACTTTTTAATTAAGATAAATCCTCATGTTGCCAAAATTATCAGTTTAATTAAATGAAAAAATATTATATACACCACTTGTAAACCAAATACAATCACAATATAAAGAAGAAATGGTACAATTAATGTCGGCAAATTTTTTCCACAAAAGGAAATTTTACACCAACCACAACCTATAGTACTAATTTGATTTACCCACAAAAAGTTACACAATATTACATGGCGACAACCAAGGTCTCACTCTCAGCATCCCACATGGTTTAAAACAAAATCAAGATCAAACCCAAATCGTCATGTCACCAACCAGCTTTTTGTCATGTAGAATCCTAAATCTATACAACAAAAGTTTTTTGTCCTCAATCAGCTAAGCTCCTCGAGTAGAAGCCCTAGCATAGAAATCGCAAAAAGACAATGTAGCGTACTTGAATCACGAGCTCTCACATCGTAAGACCCCTTTCAAGGATCGAAACCACGAGAAGATTCAATCTTCAAAATATTGTTATGTGATCGAAAGTCTTAGATCCCAACCACCAATAGTATCTGTGAAATAAATTTTAGAAAGAAGGAACAAATGCAAGGATTAGTAATGAAAGCTATGAGAATGAAGAAAGAAATGAGAGAGATTAATCAGAAATAGACAGAATAAACAAAGGAGAGAAGTGTGTTTAAAGCTACGACAATTGCATAGAAACCCCTAAAAATCCACAAAGAAAGAGAAATGAACGACGAACATCATATATGCGTGAAGCGAAAACGATGGAAGGAAGGAAAGCATAGAACAGGATGATACTTACAACAACTGCAACAAAGATCCAGAGATGTCCTTGCGTGCATTTTGTATTGTATAAAGAAAATTTAAGAAAAGAATTTGTTGGAAAAAGGGGGTGGACCAAAAGCTTTTTTTCGTAGTGCTTCCTCGGTTTTGAAATCCAGGCTTCCACACACCTTGGCACTGCAAATATCATTGATAAACAAACCCATACTAAAACCTTAATTAGCAACAGAGTGAGGGAAGAGAGAGAGAGAGAGAGTGCAAAGAGAGCGAGGAAAACAATGAATCGAGAAGAGAGGTAGAAAAGAAAGGGAAAGTGGCAAACGGAAGTGGTTCAAGAAAGAGGGAGGAGGGGAGAGAGAGAGAGGTGGAAGAGAGATGGGGAGAGTGAGAAGAAGGAAGACAGGGAAAGTAGTTATAAGGGAGGGAGATAAATACACATGGACAAATGTCGAGTCATGCAAGGAAATAAGATAGAAAAATATAAATATGTGTTCATCGTTAATTAATTAATGATGACTTATTAATTAAGATAAATCCTCATGTTGCTAGAATTGTTAATTAAAAAAAAATATTATATACACCAATTGCAAACCAAATACAGTTACAGTATAAAGAAGAAATGATCCACAACCTACACCACTAATTTGATTCCCACAAAAAGTTACTCGATATCTCCCAACCATAACCAAGGTCTCACTCTCACCATCCCACTTGGTTTAAAACAAAATCAAGATAAAACCCAAATCGTCATGTCACCAACTCTCAAAAGACAAATTGAATTTGTAGAATCTTGAATCTATACAACAAAAGCTTTTTGTGCTCAATCAGCTAAGCTCCTTGGGTAGAAGCCCTTGCATAGAAATCAGGAGAAGACGACAGTATCATACTTGAATCACAAGCTCTCACACCGTAAGGCTCCTTTCAAGGATCGAGACCATGAGAAGATTTAATCTTCAAAATGTTGTTATGAGATCGAAAGTCTTAAATCTTGACCACCAATAATATTCGTGAAATCAATTTTAGAAAGTAAGAACAAATGCGAAGATAAGCAATGAAATCTATGAGAATGAAGAAAGAAACAAGAGAAATAAATTGAAAATAGACAGAAGAAACAAGGAGAGTAGCACATTTAAAGCTATGACAATTACATAGAAACCCCTAGAAACCCACAGAGAAAGAGAAACGAACAATGAATGTCATATATGCGCAAAGCAAAAACGATGAAAGGAAGAAAAGCACAAAACAATATGATACTTACAACAACTGCAACAAAATCCAGAGATCTCCTTGCGCGCATTTTGTATTGTATGAAGAAAATCAAGAAAATAATTTGTTGGAAAGAGGGGGTGGACCAAAATCCTTTTTTCGTAATACTTCCACAATTTTGAAATCGAGGCTTCCGCACACCTTGGCCTTGAAAACATCATGGATAAACAAACCCACACTAAAACCTTGATTAGCAACAGAGGGTGGAGAGAGAGAGGAAAACAATGAAGTAGGAAGAGAGGTAGAGAAGAGAGGGAGAGTGGCATGCGGAAGTGGTTCAAGAGAGAGAGAGATGAGTAAAAGTGGAAGATAGACAGGGGGAGTGTGAAGAAGGAAGATAGGGAAAGTGGTTACAGGGAAGGGAAACAAATATATATGGACAAATGTCAAGTCATGTAAAGAAAAAAGACAGAGAAATATGAATATGTGTCCTAACATGCAATGAAATATTGTAAGTATGTGAATCTACAGTATATCTAGTAAGATTCGATTTTGAAAAAGGGGAAAGCATTCCTTTTGCTTATATATATATAATAAGATTTGATTTTGCAAAAGGGGAAAGCACCCCTTTTGCTTTTATATATATATATATATATATATATATATATATATATTTAGATATGACTCAAGGATTAATTATGTCTTACCATACAAATATTTGGTTTTAGATATGACTCTATGTAAGAGGAAAACGTACATATTAAGGGGAAAGCACCCCTTGTGTGTGTGTGTTTTGTTTTCAAAACTAAACCAAAAACATGTTTTTATCTGATTATTTAACATCATATTCCATAATCATATAATTTCTATACTAGAAGTTGTGTTTTTGTTTTAAAAACCATTATTTTGTTACTTCCAAAAACATGTTTTTTTAAACAAAACCAACTTATTTTTTTCCCTTTGAAAACAAAAATAGAGTTCAAGAACATGTTTTTGTGTTTTTTTTGTTGATGTGACAATTCAAAAAACAAATGGTCTGAAAATCACGTTTGAGCATGTTGGGTTTGATGACTTTTAGGGCAATATTTTTTATGTGTGATGTATTGATTCACAAGCGACCACCCACAAGATCATGAACGTATTTGAAGTAAAAAAGCAATCAAGACAATGTAATAATAATAAAAATAAAGAAATCCAAGCAAATACAAGAAAAGCGAACAATGCTTAGAAGATAAAAGATTTATTGATTAGACTATACCACCTAAGTCCATCCATGGGAGAAATGAAACTGTTATTAACATGAGAGATAATGAGAAATAGTACATAAATACATAATACATTGTGTATTATAGTTTGTAGCACAAGCCGATCATACTTGATTCTTGTACACGTATTCTTCTTTTTCTCTATTAATATGAAGATGCCATATATAGAAAGGAATCAGTTCTTACACTGAAATCATTGTTCTTTTTTTAACCTCTTTTTTTAGAGAAACCTTTACTATTTTTTTTTTAAAATATAAAGGAAACCTTTTATATGTAGAATGCACCATTGAATTACACCCACCATTCACTTTTTTTTTCACATATAAACCAATTATACTTCACCTTTTTTTGGACATTGAATTACAACATGAACCAACAGTTGAAAAATAAGATACACACTCAATAGGATGGTCCAATGCTAGTGGTTTTGATTGATATTTTGATTATCCACCTCATAGCAGCAAGGTGTGGAGGTTGTAGATTATGATGGCATGACATTTCTAATGATTCCTAAAGGAGGTTGTGAGTTTCTAAAATTTTGGTTTCAAACAACAATGATACTTTTACGAATTTTGGATTTTTGGACATTTTTTTGATAAACCTTATTTATTAATATTTAACATTATTTTTGTGATATTTTAAAAGTTGCAATTTGAGGTCAAAAAAGGTTTTTTTTTTCATAAAAATAGCAGGGGCACATAGATCTCGAAAAGTTATCCAAAATAAAAAAAAAAACACCCCAATTGGACATTGAAGTGCAAAGTTATGGCCTCCAAATGTTTTGCATTCATTAAGTGTGCAGTCCGCGACCTGGTCACCGGGTCGAATGGGTCAACGGTTGAACTGGCTGAGTTGAACAATTCTTGACCAAGTCAATGTTTTTTGACCATTTGACGGGTCTTGACTGAACTAGACTCAAAATCTTGGCTAGGTGACAGTTCGAATGGTTTGACCGGTCAGGTCAACAATGGGTTGAAAACATTGCTTATTCATGTAACTCTCCCGTTGGTGTAATTTATTCACAAAAATAATAAAACCATGATCTAGGCCAAAGACAGTTCAATGTTAAAAAGAATACATATTTGGAAAATCAGATTTCAACTTGAGCCAATCGCAAAATGACTAAAAATTCTTTGCCAATTTGGTACATGATTATGGTTATGCAATAGGGTCTAAAATTGGCCATGACTCGATTTAATTTTGATTGAGTTAACTGAGTTTGACCAAATCATGCCATCCATGATTTGTCAATTATATGACCAAACCATGCAATTTTTTTAGTAATAATAATAATAATAATAATAATAATAATAATATTTTTTGTTAATTTTCTTTAGAACAATTTTTACATAATTAGAACAATTTTTACATTAGGAAATTGAAAAAACATCTTTTTTTTTTATTGTTTAATGGAAAATTAGGATTGGGTTGACTCATCATTCACGTTGCCCAAGTCATTTTTTTCTCTTGTTAATTGAATCTTGTCAAATAAAATAGGGAAAATTCCAATTAGTACCCTGTACTTTGGGCCTAGTGCCACTTTGCTCATTGAACTTTAAAATGCAACAATTCAGTATTCGAACTTTTAAAACGTGTCAATCCAGTACCTACTATTAATCAGCAATTTAGTGGCATTTGAAAAAGACACAAATGCCCTTCGAGTGTCATTTAATTTTCTTTAACAATCATAAATCCCTTCTTCAGACCCCAACTTTCTTGAATAAAAGAGGTAAGGATTTAGGATTGTTAATTTTTTGTCAACGTTTGGATGGTTGATAATAAAAATTAGATGAAACTCGAAGGGCATTTGTGTCTTTTTCAAATGCAATTTAACAGATGGTTAACGGTAGGTACTGGATTGACACATTTTGAAAGTTTAGGTACTGAATTGTTACACTTTAAAATTTGGGGACCAAAGTGGCACTAGATGCAAAATATTGGATATTAATTGGGAATTTTCTAAATAAAATAACCCTGTTTTTTTAAAGCATGACAAATGGAGAGTCTTTTCTTTTTGGTTGAAACAAATGGAGAGTCCATCCACTTCTTTGGATGGTTCGAGTCTTTTGACTAGGGAATGACGATCCCGAATCACAGGGATTGATGGTTGGGTCAGCTTGGTTTGGTTTGGTAGTACGGCGTAGTCCGGTTCATCCGGTTGGACCGGTTATGGATGTTCGCGAATCGCGACTTCGCGTATCGGGAAACGAGTCAAATTCAAACATGCGACATGCCCATTGCCATTGGCCAATATCCGCAGATGGAGGGAGATAAAGCTAAAAATAGGGGAAGCTATGTTTAGAACCCGGTCGAGTCGGGACAGGAAGGAATCGCGTTCCTGTAATACAGAAGAGATAAGTAAGAACATGTGATGTCTATATACGGTAAAGCAAAAATAATACAAACGAGGCGAGAGTTTGAAGGAGAAACAAGGAGGGGTTAGAGATTGAACGGGAGAAGAGCGAAGAAGGAAGTTCCCTCCACCACCACCTCCTCCTCCTCAAACACTTGGTTAAGCTATGCAGATGCAGATCAATTCATTTTTATTTCGTCGTTCAGAGTTTCAGACAAGGCAATGTGCTCAGGGTTTTTGAGCAAACAAGAAACAACCAATTCCAATTATTTCATTTCACTTTCACATGTATAAAATTAATTAATTAATTAATTAATCAGGATTCAGGAACCTCGTAAGCCTCCACCCGTCAATCTTGTGTTTGTGCACGCGCTGGGTTTGTCACTAGTAAGTTATATCGCGCGCCATGAACACCATCTTCAGCAAACTCCGGAACCTGGACGCTTATCCAAAGATCAATGAAGATTTCTACAGCAGAACCCTCTCTGGTGGTGTTATCACGCTCGCCTCCTCCATCGTTATGTTCTTTCTTTTCATCTCCGAATTCCGTATGCTCTCTCTCTCCCTCTCCACTTATTCTGGTCTTCAGAATTTAGGGTTTCCTTCTTTCAAATTACTGCTTTTTTGTATAATTTTTTTTTCCTGCTGAGGACTTTGCATACAATTCCTCTTTTACTCTTCACGAGTTCGAGAATAACAGGATGTGGAGATAATCCATTGCAATACGTTTTGCATTGCTTGATCCATGCATTTGGCTGCTTTATGTTGTATTTTTTTCTCACTTTGGTTCATTTGTTTCTGGTATGAGTAAAATCGTTTCAAGATTAGTTACAATCACTCGCCTTTGTCTTAAAGAAAAATTGACACGGTTTCTAAAGTTGACCTTGGGCTGGTATCCTTAGTTTTTGAACTGAACACTTCAAGAGCACGAATTAGAAGTGCACGTCTATCCAGCAGATTCTGGATATTTAGTTTCATATTTTGAACATGGGCAGAATAGGTTATGATGAGTTGGACATTCTGCTACTTGGTGTCAACGTAAGCCTTGTCATTTTCACTGAAAGGGAATTACAATCAACCTAGAAGCTGGACGAGTTTGACTTGGTTGAGGAGGATATCTTTAAGCAGCAGAAGCTGGTGCTCGTGCCTTAGGCTTCTAATGGATTCGGAAACCAGGGATGAGTCGGCTGACTATTGATAAAAAAAAAAAAAGAGTCAGCTGACTAGGAACATAAAGATATTTTAATACCATACAAGGGTGAATTGCAGTAACCTTGGCTAAGTTTAGAGTTCATAGAAGTGAGACCCTTTTGGTGGTCTACCAGAGTCTGATTGAGGATGGCAACTCCATTAGGTCAAAGTTTTTGCTGTACTGCAGTGGTTGAAATTGATATATTCCTTGGTTATGACTTATGAGAAGATTGAGGAGGGGAATTGCAGATTGTTGTTTCTGGTTTCGTAATGGTTCAACCCACTCAAGTCTGTGGGCAGCCTTTTTGATATGGTGGGAAATCAGGAAACATAGATTTGACAAGCATGGTTATTCTACTCGATAAATTGTGATTTTTCTGTTAGGTTACCAACAACATTTTAAATTTCTCCATCAATGGATCACAAGATTTGTCGAACATAGGAAGGTCAGTAATGGGGTTTCACTGGACATTCTATGTGTGGATCATTCAGATATAAACAAGAAAAAGCTAATAGAATCTGCAAAAACAAGTCAGAAAAGTTCTTGTAGACATTGGCATGAAAAAAGGATCTAACAAGGGAAGATGGGTTTGCTTTGAAGGTTTTGAAGCAGGACGACCCATGATACACTTTTTTTTTGAAGTGGGCAAGGATTAAGCAGGATAGCCTCTAGAGATATGGAAGGGAAAATGAGATAATGGCAGTTGGTGAGGTAGAAAACCTACCTGAGCCAGTAGAAGTCCTTGGCTGCAAGGTGGGTTCACTATGCTCGAATTACCTGGGACTGCCATTGGGCGATAGGCGTGTGTCCAAAGCTATTTGGAAGGTGGTGTTAGAAAATGTGGAAAGAAAGCTTGCAAATTGGAAAGCAAGATAATAAAGGAGGTAAATTGATACTAATTAAGTGTGTTGGCTGGTAATCCAACCTATTCCATGTCATTATTTCCCATCCCAGTGGATGCTGAGAAAATTGAGAAACTCGTGAGGAAAGGGTATCATTGAAGGTTTTAAAGTGGGTTTGCTTGAGGAAGGGGTGCAGGTTCTCCATTTTGCAGATGACACAATCTTCTTTGTGGGATTGAGTAGGGAGCAACTAAAAATCCCAAGGGGAGTCTTAATTTGGTTTGAAGTTGTTTCAGTCTTAAGAGTAAACTTGGGGTGAAACTTCAATCATCCCTGTTTGAAAGGCTGAGGATGTGGAGGTGCTGAAGGAGATTGTGGCTTGTAAGGTGGATAACTTTCCAATTACTTAGGCCTGCCTTTGGGTGCAAAGAGCATGATCACCTCTGTTTGCACATCTGTGCTGGAAAGAATGGAAAGAAAGTTGACCCTTTGGAAGGCCAAATATCTGTCTAAGGGGGTAGAGTTACTACCATTAACAGTATTATATCTAATTTACCTACTTATTACTTATCTTTATTCCCCATTCCTACTATGGTTGCAAGAAGTTTTGTCAAGTTACAAAGGACTTCCTATGACATGGCTGGCAAGATGAGAAGAAGGTGCATGCTGTGTGAATTGGGACCAAATCTGGATATCTCGTAGTGAAGAGGGTTTGGGGATAAGGAAGATTAAAGACTTTAATGTGGTTCTCTTGTGCACATGGCTGTGGAGGTTTGGGACTAAAGTGGATGGATAGTGGAGAAAATTAATTGCTAGTAAATTTGGGGTGGACAAAGGGTAATTGGCCTTCGGGGGATCCCTAATTTCCTACCTTTCTTGGGTTGCTCTCTTTGGAAGAGTATCATGAAAATATATCCAACTTTTTTGCAAGGGTGAGCTTCAAAGTAGGGAGAGGAGACAGACTTAGCTTCTAGTGTGACAGATGGTGTGGGGATAGGTCACTGGAAGAGCTATTCCCCCAGCTTTATTTGATTTCTGATAACAAGGAGGTATTGGCGTCTGAGACTTATTCTACTAGGGTGATACTGTGATTTGGACCCTGAGGTTTCAAGAAATCTGCAACATTGGGAGGTGGAAGTTGTGTTGTGTTGATGCAGTGCTTGGAAAACCAGCTTATTAGGATAAGCCAGGTGGATGAATGGAGTTGGAAGGGGGAGAGCTCAGTTCTTTCACTGTTCATCCTTGCACTAAAATGTTGAGAGCCCTTTCCAACAACCTCCCCCAGAAAACTGATTTGGAATTCTTTGGTGCCCTCCAAAGTTGCCTTTTTGGTATGGTCTGCAGCTTTAGGAACGTGCCTCACAAGCGATACTCCAGTTCAAAGAGGAGTGTTGATTCAGGGTCAGAGCTGCTCAATGGGTGGATAGGTGATGAAATCAAATAATCATCTGCTCTTGCATTGTAAAATTGCTGGCTGGATTTGTGATCATTTCTTCGAGCACATGTTTGCTGGTCAATGCCTGAATCTATTAGGAACTTGTTATTGGCTTGGGAGTTGCATGACCTAAGCTCGAAGGGCAAGTGAGTTTGGGGTCTAGTTCCAACAAATGTGTTGTGTACTATTTGGTCAGAGAGGAATAGTAGAACTTTCAAAGCTAAGGTTAATCCAGTAGAAGATCTCATCAGCATGACTGTGAGCAGATTTGGGTTGTGGTTATCTGTATCTAAGGAGCTCTGTGTCTAATGAACTCTCTCAGAATCATCACTTACATTCCATGTATTCTATTGAGCTTGATCTGTACTGATGCGTTCTGCCTGTGTTTTGGGGATCCTTAACTTGGAGCTCAGCCAGGTGGCTTGTTGTACTATTATCTCTTTTTCATCAGTAAAATTTACCATATCTTTCTCAAAAAAACAAAGAAAGAAAAAAGTAAAATTGAGAAACTCATGTAGGACTTCTCATGGATTGGTTGGAAGGACTCCTAAAATACTATTTGGTAAATTGGGAACAGAGAATTTTTATGTCAACTTGGCTTTCTGAAGGCTGAAGCCGCGTAAGAATCAAAGGTTTCAATTAGAGCTAAAATCCTTGCTTCTCTTCAAGGTCTTCATGTCCTCACACTATTTGATGGAAGTGGGCTCCTATATTTTGATTGGGTAAACTCCAGGCCAGTGGAGTTCCTTCCATGAAAGGTATGTCAGAAGCCTCATGTCCAGGATATACACCCAAGATTCAAAATTTGAAGCAGGGATTAAAATTGCAGGAAATTCTAAGTGGTAGTGTGTTGACAGTGTTGTGGTTGTCTGCAACTCTGACGGGCCTAAAGGCGATATTGTTGTCCAGTAACTCTGCAATTTAGAAAGAGAGATGGATAGGGGGGGATTGAAGGAGGAAGGAGATTTTATCATGGCAACAAGCTGGAGAAGGACCTTGAAGGTTGAGGCTAAGCAATTTCTTTTTGAAAGCTTTAGGGTGAAAGGGAAGAAAGCTCTGAAAATCAGAGAACTAAACAAGGCTATGGTATTACTGGTCGGGAAAGAAGCTGTAGTTTGGTTTTGGACATTCTTGGAGAAAGCAGTTCAGGTGAGTAGAAAGTTAGAGTGCAAAGAATCAAATGAGGTTAATGGTAGGAGATTTGTAGCAAAGAGGAGGAAGAACTATATAGGAAGGTTTGTGGCTTTGTTGGAGTTTTTTGGGGAAGGAAAAAAACAAATGGTTTGTTTCCCTGAAGGAAAGTTGGGGATTGGATGGAAAGAAGTGTCAACTGTTTTGAAGGACTTCTTTGCCCAATAGGGATTTGGAGAAGGTAGCAGCTCTAAGAAGGAAGAACAGTTACAGGTAGTGAATGGAGTTGGTGGAGCTAGGAAATAAGAGTTCTAGAAAGAGGTTGCAAGTGTACAAATTCTGGGTAAAGCAGCAAAAGATTGCAGAATAGTATGCAATGAGCTCAAGAATGAGTGGGAGAAAAAGTTTATAGTAACTTCTACAGTACCTTCGAAAAACTGGAGGACAGTTGCAGAAGAGTTATTAAAGAAGTTAAACTTGAACTGTACTATCATCTTAACCCCCTTTGAGTCTTGTAAGGCCTTGCTTGAGGTAGTTGGAGAGGAGTTACAACTATATGCTTTGTGTTGTAAATTGCACTCAGCTTCTGTATCTATCACAAAAGGGACCCCTCATTCAAACTCTAAGGATCTGCATGCAAGGGACAAAGAAATAGTTCAGATATCGGGTTTGCCGTTTAATCTTTGGACCTCAGAGGTGTTTGATTCTATAGCTGCTTTGTGTAAGGCAAGACTGGAAGGTTCCTTTGTGGAAGACCTCCATTCAGCTGCAATTTGCTTGAGTAATGTGCATCTGGAAGATATCCCTCGTTCAGTAAAGCTGATGGTTGATGGAGTGTTCTATGTAGCCTGGCTGGTTACAGCCATTGAAGTTGCCTTGTGGAGTGA